AAAATATTCTGCCTGTCATATTAACACAGTTTGCAAATAAATACCTGTGAAATCTTTAAATCAAGACAAAAAAGAGGTGTGGAAGATAGTTCTAATATCTAAGACAACCTGTAACTAACCCAAAGTGTTTGTACTTTGCAGTACAATAAATTCAAGTGCCGCATTCTGAATGAGAAAGTCACAACCCCCACTACAACAGTCTACAGGTAAGCTGGTTATATTTATGTAGTTAACTAGGTCTTTTCATTTTCTTCTTCCTTGTTTTGGTCTTTGTCCTTTTGTAAACCCAACTGTTGTCTCACTTATGAACCCTGGTTAGATGTGGGCCCTTGATTGACCTGTGCAGAGGGCCCCATGTCAGACATACTGGCAAGATCAAGGCCATGAAGATCTACAAGGTATGTAGAAAATAGATGCAAGGTTTTTTATGCAGTGTTTAAATTGATCACAAGTCCCAAAACTGGTTTATGCTGTTTTCCTTCTATTATTGTCACCTCTTTCTGTATCTGCTTAACAGGGAATTTAATCATTTAATAAATTGTACCCCAAAGTAGATCTCCTGATTTTGTAAACAAATACTTGTCACCAGAACTCTTCCACCTACTGGGAGGGTCGCGCCGACATGGAAACATTACAGAGGATCTATGGGATTTCCTTCCCAGACTCAAAGATGCTGAAGGACTGGGAACGTTTTCAGGAGGAGGCCAAGAACAGAGACCATCGCAAGATTGGCAAAGTGAGTTATTGAAGGCAGTCTTGTTCAAGCCCACCCAGCTGGCTGAGACTGTATAACATGATGGCTGACATGTCTCCTTTGTATTTTTTGTTGGAGTGTTTCTTTGTGAGAATCTAGGTTTGTGGTTTCACAGATGTGGTGAATACCTGAAACAAACCTGGAGCAGGAGCAAAGTTTCCTAGTAAACATAAGATGTAAAGAACAGGCAATATATAAACAAAACAAAAAATTATGCAGAGGTTAGGTAAAATGGTCTTTCTGCTATAACTCAAATGGCACAATAAGCATGCTTCAGGGCCAAACCAGTTTAAATCTTTAAAACACACTCTAACTTGACTCTACTTTAAAAGTCAGAGAAGAATGATCAGCTGTACTGTATTCACCCAGCCTCTGCCACATTACCTAGCACTGCTTGTAATCATCCCCCTTAGCCTTGCTTCTGCCCTCTACACAGCCTAAAGCCTCTTCATTACCATTGCCTAGTTTTTTCCAGACCACAGCTCTCTGGCTCAACCACCATTCTTGGCAGTATGTACACAGCATCCCCAGTCCAAACCAAGCCCTAGAAATAGCTTGTGACTCCTGGACCTCTATTTACCTTAGCCATCTGTGTCAAAGTAAGAAAGTCTATCAATGCAAATGTGGTCCAGCCTGTCAGGACACACATACTTCTACACATAATCACATAGATGCTAGATCCCATCTCTCCAGGAACCCAATGGCCATGGGGCTGTGTAATAGTCGCCCTTTCTCCAGCCCCTTATGTGGCCTTGCCTTGACTTCCCAGGTTCCCCACTAAATATTAGCTTCATAGACCTTTTCTGCAGTGCTGACCTTTATTAATTCACATTCCCATCTCTCATGTATCTCTCCTGAAGCATCAAATTTTAACACCAGCCTGAAATTCTGAGATTTCCTTGAGAATTATAGCTTTGACTTCACTATTTTTGTCTGATAAACCTGCCATATTAACACAGTGATGCTAATTCTGTTAGTTAAATGTTAACTTGCATTTTTGAACAATATCTGTCATATAAAATTTATTTTTCTATGGTATCATCATCATCTGAATCATACTGAATGGCAAAAAAGGGCAGTGCGGCATCAAGTCAATCAGTTCTCACACAAAGATGTTATGAAAAAAGATTACTAAAAGCTAGGTTTTGTGAGTGAACAGTGGCTAAAACTATTAAAGTTGTGATGTTTAATATGTCCAGCACTGTAATGCTCATCATGTAATGTCTTTTAGCTTCTGCACAAGCTATATGCACCAGCAGTGACTCATTTCGAATGGAAATATGGGAAAGCCCCCTCTGTCCATGCTAAATTTGTGGTTGTGTTATTAGCTGTGTCACCAGCGGTACTGCCCGTAACCATAGGATTGCTAATTAGGAGGTTACGTGTTAATCAAGTACACTACAGTGAGTGGTCACGTCTGTGTCTGTCTGTGCTCCAAGCCTTTCCTTCCTCTCACATTAGACTGACACCCATCACAACTTCCAAAAGCTAACATCTGATCAGACCTAACACACACTGATACATACACACATATGCACACAGGCATCGCTGTTTTCCTAAATACATTCACATAGACATATACAATGTCATGCATGCATCTCTCCAAGATGGCGGCGCGCATAGTTGCAGCGGCTTCGTGCTTTGCTTTCCTTTTCGATTTGGGTGTTGCCTTTGAGCAGCACCTGACTTGGGGCGCAAATACCACTGCTTTGGTGAAGAAGGCCCAGCAGAGATTGTATTTTCTCAGTCTTTTGAAGAAAAATAATCTGAATGAGAAACTGCTGGTGTCCTTCTATCACTGCTCAATAGAGAGCATTTTAACATGCTGTGTCTGTGCCTGGTTCGCCAGTTGCACAGCTGCAGACAGGAGAGCGCTCCAGAGGGTTATTACCAGAGCCCAGACGATTATCGGTTGCCCCCTACCATCTCTGGAAGAACTGTACAGTTCCCATTGCTTGAAAAAAAGCACAAAACATTCTGCAGGACCCATCACACCCTGAACACTGTCTGTTTGAACTGCTGCCTTCGGGGAGAAGATACAGAACAATTATAGCAAGGACAAACAGATTAAGAAACAGTTTTTATCCGAGAGCTATTGTTGCTTTAAATGCTGCTAAAACCTTAAAATTTGAATGATTGATGGGATTTTACGGGAACTGTGCAATAGTCAGATGTGTATGGATGCGAGTGTGTAAATTTGTTGGGTTTTATTGTTTGATTATTTTTTATCATCGAAGGATTGCATTTTTAATTTTGTTGTACAATGACAATAAAGTTAAAGTTTTTAAAGTTTATTATTTTCTAATGTCACCCGGTGATAACCTTCTGATGTGGAAATGTCTCTTAGCATTTTATACCAGCTGAGGGCACTGTGTTTCTTTGAATTTGCACATTCAAGACAACTGAGTCATCTGAGTGCTCCATTTGGTTTCTCAGCATGGGAGACACAGATGGCAGCACCTTAATCAGCACTGATTACAACACTGTTCCATATTAAATGCAAGAGTCAAGATATTGCTGTTGAGGAGGGAGGTGACAGAAGCAGTTCAAACATGGTGCTCTGTGGTATGATCCCAGACCTACCATTTAGAATTGCATGGTGCATCGTTTGACGTATTCCAGTTGGATTGTCCCGATAGCACTGAAATAAAAAGAAGTTTCCCTTCATTACCAGTAGAGAGCTGACTGTGTCATTTAAAAAAAAGAAAAAAAAAAGTTAATCAAATATGTGATACCCCACCAAGCGCTGGTGTGTGAATGTATATACTGTGTGTGTGCCTTTGTATTACTTACATCATGAGGACTGAAACCTGTTAACACACTCACACTGTGAGGACTTGGCCATCCTTGTGGGGACCAGAAGCTAGTCGGCACAAGGAAATCACTGAATTTTAGCGTGGCAACATAGTTCAGGGTTAGGATGAGGTTAGGTATAAAGGTCAGGGTTAGAGTTAGGCGAGTGGTGGTTATGGTTAAGGTTAGGATAAGTCTACAGGAAATGAATGTAAGTCAATGTAAAGTCCCCACAAGGAATGAAAACACAGTGTGTGGGTGTCTATAATGTAATATAATATACTTTTTTCTTTCCTAATGTGCATTCCTTTTGCTTGTTTGCACAATACTTTTTCATTTCTGTTCTCTCAGCCTTATATTGTTTACTTGTCCATTGCTGCCTTACGTACATACACATACGTATACATTGAGAGCCGCTGTACCAGAGTCAAATTCCTCGTGCGTCCAACACACCGGGCCAATAAAGCTGATTCTGATTCGTGTGTGTGTGTGTGTGTGTGTGTGTGTGTGTGTAGGTACAGTCAGGGACAAAATTATTTGAACCCCAGCTGATTTTGTAAGTTTGCCCACTAACAAAGAAATGATCAGTCTACAATGTCAATGGTAGGTTCATGTGAACAGTGAGAGACACAACAATAACAAAAAAATCCAGAAAAATGCATTACAAAAAAAGTTATAAAGTAATTTGCATTTTCATGTCCTTGCATTTAGTCCTCCAGACTATCATGTTGTGTGTAGTTTCTTGTTGTTGTTTTTTTTTGTTTTTTTTCTTTGCAGATACCAAGGATATGTGAAATAACAAAGGTCTTTTTTTTTCTTTGTTTCACAGGATCAGGAGTTGTTCTTCTTCCATGATCTCAGCCCTGGCAGTTGTTTCTTCATGCCACGTGGAGCCTACATCTACAACACACTCACAGAGTTCATCAGGGTAGGAGTTGTGACAATGTGTCATTTCCTATTTTACTATATAGTTGCCCAGTTTTATTCTATTTAAGATGCACATGTAAGCTTCAGAAGCCTTCACGTAATGTCCCTCTTCTTCTTCTAGAGACGACTTTTTTTTTTTTCAAAAGCTAGAGGGGAGGTTTGTTCATTATATTCTTTTCAAAAACAAAATATTGTTATATTTCAGCATAGTGAGAACTTTTTTTCATGATAAATTGAAAATGCCAGAAGTGTCATAACTAAAAAAAAGTTAAGATTTTCATATTAGTCTTCATAAATTTAATTTATTTCTTCTATTTGCCTTGTGAAATCATAATTTGAGAATGGGCCACCTTTTTTCCCCTCTGTGCAGAGACCACCTAGTCTTTGTAAAGTCATCAAATTTTCATAACTGGTAATTGACTGTGCAAAAGTTTTCATTTAGGAGCAGATGGTCTTGTCTGAAGTTTGGCATGCTTACATTTTAGGGTAATTTGAACTTATTTGCCAAGTTCACTGACTCTACAGGAAATTGTCTCTGTTACGTATGTGAGAAGTGTTGACATCTTGAAGACTTTCACAGCACACACTAACACACCGGACAAAGCCAAGAAGACCTCACATACAGTGCACAGAAATGGTGCAAGATCATTATCGCATCACTTCAGTCTGTTACCAGTGTTTAAGAAATAATAGTGTGCTATGCATTTCCCTCTACTACATACAGTATCACTGAAAAGTGTATCAGTGAAAACTCAAGTTGATAGCTTTTGGAGACTCTTCTTACAACTGCAGCATCAATGATTGTTGCAGTGAATGGAGCCAGTTGTCACTCAGGATTTTCACTGTAGCACCTCTTCCCTTCTGCTAAATCAGATTTATTTAGGAAAAGCAGACTGAGCTTACATGGTCTCTTTCAGCATGTTCCGTCATTTCCCCCTCAGTTCTACATATTCACAACTGAAATCTTCTTCTTTTAGCTGCTAAACACTTAAATTGGAATTAAATGTTTTGAGGACAAATGGAGCAATAAAACCCACAGGTTCCGATCTCCAACGCAGCTTGAGGTTTTGTGCCAGACAGCATGATTCAGCTCCGTTCAAAGTGCCTGTGCATATTTACTTAGTTTCTGTGGTTTTGTTATTTTTCTAGGAGGAGTACTGGAGAAGAGGCTTTCAGGAAGTAGCCTCACCCAACATGTATAACAGCAAACTGTGGGAGACATCTGGCCACTGGCAACACTACAGCGAAAACATGTTCTCCTTCCCTGTGGAAGATGACATCTTTGCTCTCAAGCCCATGAACTGCCCTGGGCACTGGTAAATTTAAAGCACTGACAACGGAAATATCTTTAGTGTTTCCCAAATGCTGGAAAACAAACAGTATACACAGCATTTAATGCGGGTCACAGTCATTTCTTTTGCCTCTCTCTGGTTGTCCTTTTAGTCTGATGTTCAGCCACAGGCCTCGCTCATGGAGGGAGCTTCCTCTGAGGCTGGCAGACTTTGGGGTCCTCCACAGAAATGAATTGTCAGGATCACTAACCGGGCTGACCAGAGTGCGGCGCTTCCAGCAGGATGACGCTCACATTTTCTGCACAATAGACCAGGTGACCAAATCAGGAGTTTTTCTTGAAAAAGAAAATCCATTTTGTTTGACAGTTTAACAAGTGAAAAACAAGAGCTTACTTATTTTTGATCTTTTTTTTTTTTCTTTCTACAGATTGAATCAGAGATGAAGGGCTGTCTGGACTTCCTCCGCTGTGTTTACGATGTATTTGGCTTCTCCTTCCAGCTCCACCTTTCCACTCATCCGGAGAAGTATCTGGGTGACATTGCTGTGTGGAACCAGGCTGAGAAGGTAAACGGTGTCATGCATTGTAGTTGTGATTTAATGTAGACAGTGAACTCCACTTAGTAGATCTGATTTTGCCTTTTTAAGTATGAATGACTGCTGTAGAGGTGTACTTGACTAAAATGTAGGCACTGAGCCCCACAGTAGTGTCAGATCTGTGAAGTTCCTTGAATTTCTGTAAGTGTGTTCTGTAGGTGGTGTGTTGCGCATGAAAGACACTGCTCATTTGTTTGACTTGATTTCTATCATTATTATTGTCCAGTTGTCGGCTGCATAAAGACATCACTTGAATGAAAACGTAAAAGTGCAGTTACAGTCAGGTTCATACATATTGGAACAGTGATAACTTTTTTGGCATTTGGCCTCTATACAGCACCACATTGAATTTGAAATGTACTCAAAATGTGAGTGAAGTCAAGACTTTCCACTTTATTTCAAGGGGTTTGACAAAAGCGTGGCATTGACCATTCAAGAATTACAGCCATTTTTGATGGCTCATAAATAATGGAACAAGTTAACATAATTACAAACATAAAGATCACCTTTAATCCTTGGATGAAAATTCTTTGCAGTCAGTGACTGTCTGAAGTCTGGAACCCATGACCAAATGCCGGGTTTCCTCCCTCAAGATGCGTTGCCAGGCTTTTACTTATGCTTGCTTGTGAGTCTTTCTGTATTCAGTAAGTGAAAGGCACACTCTACTGGGTTGAGATCAGGTGACTGACTTGGCCAATGAGGAATATCCTTGCCTTTCTTTGCCTTGAGAAACTCTTGGGTAGCTTCCGCTGCATGTTTTCGGTCATTATCCATCTGTTTTTCCATTCCAACTTTATTTGTAAAGCACTAAAAACAACCAAGGTGGACCAAAGTGCTGTACATTGTAAATAACAATATACATTAAAAATAAACACAACTTACAAGTACAGATAAAATCAACACCAATATAAGATATCAAAACGCCAACAAGAATAAATGAGTTTTCAAAAGGGACTTAAAAACAGGCAAAGAAGAGGCTTATCTGATGGGTATTGTAAATCATTCCATAGATTGGGGGCAGCAGCCACAAAGGCACGATCACCCCTAAGCTTGCGCTTTGTTCTGGGCACACTCAAAAGTAACTGATTAGCTGACCTCAAAGAATGCGTAGGTGAATGTTGTATGAGGTAGCGTCCTATCGGTTTTGCAGCATTTGGCTAAATCTGAGCAGAGAGTACAGAATAAAGTAAGAATTCATCCTGCTACTTTTAGCAGCAGTCAGGTCATCAATAAACTCCACTGACATGCCCATGCCATAACACTGCCTCCACCATGTTTGACAGATGATGTGGTATCAGCTTTGGATCATGAGCTGTTCCCTTCATTCTGGTACAAGTTCATCTTGGTTTCATCAGTCCAAAGAATCTCATTCCAGAACTGGGCAAGGTTTTTTTTTTTTTTTAAAAGGTGTTTTCTTTCAAAGTCTAATCTGGCCTTTCTGTTCTTGAGCATTACCAGTGGTTTGCACCTTGTTGTGAAGCCTATATTTACATTCATAAAGCTGTTTCTTGACTGTAGACTTTGACACACCTACGTCCTCAAGAGTGTTCTTGACTTGGGTAGATGATGTGGAAAGGTTCTTCTTCACCATAGACAGAATTCAATTTTAACTGACTTCAAGGCTTTTTGCTGTTGCTGAACTTGTCAGTTACTGTTGTATTGGCCAATCCCAATGTTTTGAAATCTCTCTGTTGGGTTTTTTCAGACTAATGATGGCCTCCTTCACTTGCATAGACACCTCTTTGGACCTCATGTAGAGAGTTCCAGTGAACAGCTACCAAATGCAAATTTGACACTCAGAACTACCTCCAGGCCTTTTATCTGCTTGATAAGTCATGGAGTAATGAGGGGCAAGGCCACACCTAGCCATGCAACTGATTGTCAGCCATTTGTCCATTATACAGTATATGAGCCACCAAAAATGGGAGTGTATCTATGAAAATGGCTGTAATTCCTGAATGGTTAATGCCACACTTTTGTCAAACCCCTTGAATTAAAGCTGAAAGTCTTCACTTTGCTCACATCTTGAGTGTTTCATTTCAAATTCAGTGTGGTGGTGTACAGAGGCTAAATGCCAAAAAACATCATTGTTCTAATATGTATGAACCTGACTGTAGGCAGTGAGAGTGCAGACTAACTTGTGCTCTTAACTAAACGGTTTACTTCACCATAACTTGGCTGGCTTCACAGTAATTGGTTTTCATTGTTTATATTTGAATTATATTTACCTATTGACTGTATATAAAGACTGAGGACATGACAGCTCCCAGAAGTAAAGCCACCACGAGTTGATTGCCATATAGGTCATAACTTCCTCCCCTTTTCATGTTAGTGGATGGTACTATAAACTCAAAGTACACATCAAATAAATTTCTAAAAAGTCATTTCTAGTAGATATTATCACACTGATTTTTGTACATTTAGTCATTTTTCTGATACTTGTTTTTAATAAATTATTTGATATAAAACAGGTGTCTGTTGATTTCATAGCTTTGATTGATGGTCACATGCTGCCACTCAGCTTCTGGTTGCTACTGTGCAGAATGTGATTGCATAAAAGCCAAGATGGTAGCCGTGATATTTACGATAGCTTAGCTTCATTTTTGTATAGTGGAGGGAAGTGGTGATGCGTAATCTTTTATATATGGTCTATGTATTTAACCCATGCCCCATGTTTGACAGCAATTGGAGAACAGCTTGAATGAGTTTGGGGAGCCATGGAAGCTCAACCCTGGGGATGGTGCTTTTTATGGACCCAAGGTCAGAACATTTCTTGATACATCCAATCAAATGCACAATAAGTTTCATTCTCTGAGGTCTGGGAAGGGCTGTAATTCTTTCTGTGCTGTTGCAGATTGATATTAAGATCAAAGATGCTATTGGACGTTACCACCAGTGTGCAACCATTCAGCTGGACTTCCAGCTGCCTATCCGCTTCAACCTGACCTTTGTGGGGTGAGTCACCTAATCAAAACAGTGACGCACTGCTGAGTCTGTGTGCTAATCCCCTCTTGAATTGAAATGTCTCAGCTTGTGCACTGTCTCATAGAGTTTGGTTTAAGAAGTAAAAAAAAAAACTGTATGCAGATTTGAACTCGTAGAGCAAGTGACTCACCAGGATTTTCACTTTGTGAACCCAGCATGGGAAAACGGTGTGCATCCTATACAGCAACACACACATTTACAGTTTGTGCATTAGGTCAGTCAGTCCAGTATTACATACTGCATACTGTAGAGAGGGAAAGACTATCTTTGTAGATCAGCAGAAGTACAAGTTGCAGACACTTGGATTTCGAGCCAATGGGTAGATAGAGATACATTGTCCACAGCGTAAATGGTCAAACATTTGACTGTAGTTTAAAAAGAATTCTTTTAAAGAACATATCTTCTTTTTTAAATATGATGCTATGCAATATGCAGTGAATTAGATGTTAATAAATATAACGGGCCAAAAATAAATGTGGTTGACATACATGCTGACACAAGTCACAAAAAACCTTGATGTTTTCTTTGATGCAATGTCTTACAGGAAGGACGGGGATGACAAGGCACGACCAGTCATCATCCATCGTGCAGTCTTGGGCTCTGTGGAAAGGATGATTGCCATTCTCACAGAGAACTATGCAGGGAAATGGTGAGGTGTTTTCTGGTGTCTCATGCATTTTGAGCGCTTCATTTAACAATGTTATTAAATAAAATTTTTTAAAAAGTAAATATATTCCACAATAATGATACATCCCACTGCTTTAATCTGGTGTTTCAATAGATAAATCAGAAGGTCAGTGCATACTGTTGTGTTACAATACTGTTTTTAGAGTGGTTATGAATATTCTGCAGTCTTGCTGGAATGCGAAAGAATCCAGTGTAATGTTTTAACAACCCACACAACGGCACGCATGACAATTTCACTGTTTCTTTTTGTGAGAGAACAAGATGGTTGGTAATGGTATCTCTATACAGTTCAGTCTGTGGAGACAGATTCATTTTTGCTTCAATGTCTGTCCACCAGGCCTTTGTGGCTTTCTCCGCGTCAGGTGATGGTAGTGCCTGTCAACCCCTCCTGTGAGGATTACGCCAAGACGGTATGTCCACACTTCCACTTCCCTATATAATCATATGAGTGCAGGCAAGATGTATCTGTGCCATTCAGAATTGTGGAGCAGCTGTGGCTCAGGAGATGGAGCAGGTTGTGTCCTAACCAGAGGGTTGGTGTCTCGTATACTGGCTTCTGCAGTCCACATGTTGAGGTGGACTTCAAGTTTGCTCCTGGTCCCGTCAGTATGTGAATGCTTGTGTTTGTGTGCAAATGGGAAATAATGTAAAGTGCTTTGCTTGTGCTTCGTTGGAGAGAGAAGCACTATATATACGTGAAATACTATTTAAAATGCTTGTGAAACCATGAATGGTGTTTCTACCTGCCAGGTCTGTAAGCAGTTCACAGAAGCTGGTTTCATGTCAGATGTTGACCTGGATTCTGGCTGTCTTCTTAATAAGAAAATCCGAAACGCTCAGTTGGCCCAATATAACTTCATTCTTGGTAAGAAAATGTACTACCACTTGCATTTTCACCCATTTTGACTGCGCTCAGGGTTGCCTGCAATCATTTCACAAGTACATTTAACTGGTTACTCCACAACATTTACTGACAGTTTTAAAGACAATATTGTTGTATTGTTAATACTGGTTCAGTTGTTTTTCAAAACAATAACATTCCTAACTGGTTGAATATAAAACAAATGGACCTCAGGGCTGGCTAATCAACTATTGTGGATTCATTCTGCCAAACAACTTGGGGAGTATGTTGGGATAGCTGTGGGCGTGTGGTGTGAGTTGGCCCATATCAAGCTGTTCGGTCTTGTTTTGGCAGTGGTTGGAGAGAAAGAGAAGATGACTAACTGTGTCAATGTGCGCACGAGGAACAACAAAGTCCACGGAGAACTGTTGGTGGCCGAGGTACTTGCTCGCCTGACCCTGCTCAAACAATCACGCTGTCAAAACGCAGAGGAGGAGTTCTGATTGAGATAAAAATCAAACAAAAAAAAAGCAGTCTCTTGTATTTGAATATGTCAGCCACAAAAGCAGTACAGGGAAAAATGATGGCACATATAAGGGTGGTACTAGGAAAGTGTAGTACATAGAACAGAAGTCCAACAGAAACAGATGAACTGGAATTTTGTAAGTAAATATAATGAATGGGGCAGCAAAACAGCTTGCCCATGTGATAATGTGTGGAGTGGAAAGGACAAGTTTTGTATGTGGTGTTGCTATCAAAACAAAGTAAGTCTAAAAATAAGTTGCTTGATGATTTAAGGAAACAAAGTGATCACTGTCATGGTAAAGGTTATGTGAATTTGGCACTGATTTATTTTCACAAAGGACTTTCTATAGTTAAAGAAATAAAATACATCTGTTGAATGTGAAAATTGTGTTCTTAATTTCACAACAAAAGTAATATATGTGATTTTTTTTCTTTTTTTTTTAAAACAAGAATTAGATGTCAAACAGCTCTGCTGCTTCTTACTGCATCCACCCCATGGAAAAATAACATACAATGACCTCATTAAAACTATTTTCCTTTTTTTTTGTTTTAGTCACAGAGGTTTGGTGATGTACTATAGTATAATTAGAAATTTGATGCCACCACCTAAGGCCTAGAAATACTATATTGATAAAAAGCCTGCATTAAAATGTATATTCACACCAATACCTCTTATTGTCAAGATTACCGTAAAGATGTTGAGAATTTGTCAAACATAATTTTGCCAAGATGTTGCTTGGACTCAGTTTTAAGTCATAGAACTAGGTGAATGGTTGAGAGTGAAAAGTGTCGCAGCTTCTTTCATTGCTGTAGTTACAGTGCCTTGCGAAAGTATTCTGCCCCCTTGAACTTTGCGACCTTTTGTTACATTTCAGGCTTCAAACATAAAGATATAAAACTGTAATTTTTTGTGAAGAATCAACAACAAGTGGGACACAATCATGAAGTGGAACGAAATTTATTGGATATTTCAAACGTTTTTAACAAATAAAAAACTGAAAAATTGGGCGTGCAAAATTATTCAGCCCCCTTAAGTTAATACTTTGTAGCGCCACCTTTTGCTGCGATTACAGCTGTAAGTCACTTGGGGTATGTCTCTATCAGTTTTGCACATCGAGAGACGGAAATTTTTGCCCATTCCTCCTTGCAAAACAGCTCGAGCTCAGTGAGGTTGGATAGAGAGCGTTTGTGAACAGCAGTTTTCAGTTCTTTCCACAGATTCTCAATTGGATTCAGGTCTGGACTTTGACTTGGCCATTCTAACACCTGGATATGTTTATTTGTGAACCATTCCATTGTAGATTTTGCTTTATGTTTTGGATCATTGTCTTGTTGGAAGACAAATCTCCGTCCCAGTCTCAGGTCTTTTGCAGACTCCATCAGGTTTCCTTCCAAAATGGTCCTGTATTTGGCTCCATCCATCTTCCCATCAATTTGAACCATCTTCCCTGTCCCTGCTGAAGAAAAGCAGGCCCAAACCATGATGCTGCCACCACCATGTTTGACAATGGGGATGGTGTGTTCAGGGTGATGAGCTGTGTTGCTTTTACGCCAAACATAACGTTTTGCATTGTTGCCAAAAAGTTCGATTTTGGTTTCATCTGACCAGAGCACCTTCTTCCACATGTTTGGTGTGTCTCCCAGGTGGCTTGTGGCAAACTTTAAACAACACTTTTTATGGATATCTTTAAGAAATGGCTTTCTTCTTGCCACTCTTCCATAAAGGCCAGATTTGTGCAGTATACGACTGATTGTTGTCCTATGGACAGAGTCTCCCACCTCAGCTGTAGATCTCTGCAGTTCATCCAGAGTGATCATGGGCCTCTTGGCTGCATCTCTGATCAGTCTTCTCCTTGTATGAGCTGAAAGTTTAGAGGGACGGCCAGGACCTGCCTGGTGTGTTCTTTGTTCTTCATGATGCTCTCTGCGCTTTAAACGGAGCTCTGAGACTATCACAGTGCAGGTGCATTTATATGGAGACTTGATTACACACAGGTGGATTCTGTTTATCATCATTAGTCATTTAGGTCAACATTGGATCATTCAGAGATCCTCACTGAACTTCTGGAGTGAGTTTGCTGCACTGAAAGTAAAGGGGCTGAATAATTTTTCACGCCCAATTTTTCAGTTTTTTATTTGTTAAAAAAGTTTGAAATATCCAATAAATTTCATTCCGCTTCATGATTGTGTCCCACTTGTTGTTGATTCTTCACAAAAAATTACAGTTTTATATCTTTATGTTTGAAGCCTGAAATGTAACAAAAGGTCGCAAAGTTCAAGGGGGCAGAATACTTTCGCAAGGCACTGTAAATTGTCAAACCAGAGAAATATGCAGTTAATCCCAATTCCCTTATTTTATCGTTCCTCGCTCGAGTCGGACGTTGTTCCGGTCCACCATGAGGACGTGCCAAAAATCCTTATTTGTGCTTTGAAGAGGAAGAGGAGGAGGAGGAACAGCAGCTTGAGGATACTCGTGTATCCTTAACTGAAATCTGTTACGGATTGACACGTCCCTTTATTGGAAAACTGCTGGTGTCTGGGCGCTTCACCTGAAGGCTCAAAGAAAGGACTCCTCATGTCAGTTAAAACGTGTTTCATCGGTTCCTCTCTCACATTTTGTCCTTGGATCTTTTCCTTGCATCTTATGTGGGCGGGACTAAGATGCAAGGGAAAGAAAGACACAAGTGATGGGAACATGGATGCAGTTAATGGAATTGGGATTCAGTAGTGATGGAAATTCCAGTTCTTTTCAGAGAGTCAGTTCATTTGGCTCAGCTCATGCCAATCACTAAATTGAATGGAGATAAGAATCAAAACGACCGTTGCCATAACATACCAAAGGACTCCCTGATAGTGGACAAGAAGGACTTTGTACTCTTTATGGTAAATGTGATTAACTGTGCTGCACAGACTGATAAAAGAACTTAAAGAATCAATATTCTTTTTAGATCTGCAGAGACGTTTCTGGGAATAAAGGGGTTACACTGGGAGGAAGTTAAGGAGACACTTAATACAGGCTCTAGTTCACAAGGGGATGGTAGGGGTTCATAATGATAGTTACTATCCTTCAGTGGAATGCTAGAAGTCTTATTGCAAATGGGCGGGAATTCAAGAGCTATTTAACAAAATTACAATACAAACCACAGATATTGTGCATTCAAGAAACATGGCTGAAAAAACAATGGAATTTTGTCATTCAAGGATACACGGTAGTTACAAGGGACAGAGATGAGGGAAATGGTGGTGGAGTGGCTACATTTATTAAAGATGGTCTAAACTATAGTATACTTGATATTAATACAGAATATGAATCTATAAGTGTTACGGTGTGGTTTAGAAATAGCAGCCTGACTGTTGTTAATTTCTATAATCCTTGTGGCCGACTTACTGGAGGCATGTTGGATTCTGTGGGAGAACCAATTCTAGGAAAACCTGTCTGGTGTGAAGACTTTAATACACATAGTACTCTGTGGGGTAGTAAACATACATATAGTAATGGGAGAATCATAGAGGAGTTTTTGGAAGATAACAGTGGTCTGTTTAAATGATGGTGAAGGAACTCTGTCAACCTGTCCATCACCATAGCAAACAGGAAGGGACTCAAAGCCGATCCTTGATGTAGATCCACCTTAAACTCCTCTGTCTGACCTACAGCACATCTCACTACTGTCGTACTCCTCTCATACATATCCTGAACTACTCTGACGTACAGTGGGCAAATTGGTATTTGATACACCACCAATTTTTCAAGTTTTCCCACTTACAAAGAATGGGCAGATCTTAACTTTCATCATAGATACACCTCAACTGGGAGAGACACAATCTACAAAAAAATTCCAGAAAATCACATTGTTAGATTTTTAACTAATTTATTTCCATTTTATTGCATGAAATAAGTATTTGACACAATAGAAAAATAGAACTTAATATTTGGCACCGAAACCTTTGTTTACAATTACAGAGGTCAGACGTTTCCTGTAGTTCTTGACCAGGTTTGCACACACTGCAGCAGGGATTTTGGCCCACTCCTCCATACAGGTCTTCTCCATATCTTTCAGGGTTTGGGGCTGTCGCTGGGCAGCACGGAGTTTCAGCTCCCTCCATAGATTTTCTATTGGGTTCAGGTCTGGAGACTGGCTAGGCCACTCCAGGACCTTGAAATGCTTCTTACGGAGCCACTCCTTAGTTGCCCTGGCTGTGTGTTTGGGGTCATTGTCATGCTGGAAGACCCAGCCACGACCCATCTTCAATGCTCTTACTGAGGGGAGGAGGTTATTACCCAAAATCTCGCAATACATGGCCCCATCCATCCTCTCCTCAATACAGTGCAGTCGTCCTGTCCCCTTTGCAGAAAAGCACCCCCAAAGCATGATGTTTCCACCCCCATGCTTCACGGTTGGGATGGTGTTCTTGGGATTGTTCTCATCCTTCTTCTTCCTCCAAACACGGGAGTGGAGTTTATACCAAAAAGTTCTATTTTGGTCTCATCTGACCACATGACCTTCTCCCATGCCTCCTCTGAATTATCCAGATGGTCTTTGGCAAACTTCAGACGGGCCTGGACATGTGCTGGCTTGAGCAGAGGGACTTTGCATGCGCTGCAGGATTTTAAGCCATGTAGTGTAGTGTGTTACTAATGGTAACCGTTGAGACTGCGGTCCCAGCTCTCTTCAGGTCATTGACCAGGTCCTCCCGTGTAGTTCTAGGCTGATCCCTCACCTCTCTCAGGATCGTTGATACTCCACGAGGTGAGATCTTGCATGGAGCTCCAGTCCGAGGGAGATCATCTTTCTTCCATTTTCTAATAATTGCGCCAACAGTTGTTGCCTTCTCACCAAGCTGTTTGCCTATTGTCCTGTAGCCCATCCCAGCCTTGTGCAGGTCTACAATTTTGTCCCTAGTGTCCTTAGACAGCTCTTTGGTCTTGCCCATAGTGGAGAATTTGGAGTCTGATAGATTGAGTGTGTGGACAGGTGTCTTTTATACAGGAAACAGTTCAAACAGGTGCAATTAATACAGGCAATGAGTGGAGGATAGGAGGGCTTCTTAAAGACAAACTAACAGGTCTGTGAGAGCCAGAATTCTTGCTGGTTGGTAGGTGATCAAATACTTATGTCATGCAGTAAAATGGAAATAAATTATTTAAAAATCTAACAATGTGATTTACTGGAATTTTTTTGTAGATTCTGTCTCTCACAGTTGAGGTGTACCTACGATGAAAATTACAGAACTGTCCATTCTCTGTAAGTGGGAAAACTTGAAAAATCGGCAGTGTATGAAATACTCATTTGCCCCACTGTAT